CCCCAAAACCCCAAAACCCCAAAACCCCAAAACCCCAAAACCCCTTAAGAGGTGAGATTGTTGAAATATAATATAAATACTAATAAAGCTAAAATCAATGAAATTCGCCATATTTTTGTTAATAATTGCAATTCTAGTGAGAGGATGCCAGGGATATAACCCTCAGAAAGACTCTTACTATGGGATTGTGATGGACAAGCTCCAAGGAGCTGCATGAACAACATGTAAGATGACAATGAGCGCTACCACTAACCTTTCAATGAATTCCTTGAGTATAAAATTGCTCAAGGATTCTTTATATTTGATGTGATCTATGACCAACCTAAACTCAGTTGAGTGATCAGGGATCCTTGAAGCTTACATTGAAATGTTTTTTGAATATATTCAAAGAAAGGTAGCCACGAGCGACTATCTTTGAGAGGTTGCTTTTGAAGTCTGCAATCCTAACACATATTCTGTCCTGAAAATAGAGGATTATGCTGATAGGGTTTTAGGTGAATCTTATTTCACCAATGATTATATTGATATGCTTTATGATGAGATTGAGGAAGCCCATAGCCTAGGGAAAGAAAGAGAGACCATGCTAATCTACCAATTCACAGACATTCATCTAACTCTAGACTATGCTGAAGGATACAGTAATGTCTGCGATGAGATATCTTGATGTAAAGTATCATCTGGAGTACCATCAGATCCTCATCACAGAGCTGGAAAATGGGGTGATTACAACTGTGATGCAAACCCAAGAATTCTTGATCAGATTAAATACTCCGTCGCCGAAATTGGAGAGCCTGACATGATTCTTTGGACTGGTGATTCCAATGATCATACCCTGTCAGACCACGAAAGAGATACTACAGAAGCTTCGAAATATGTTACAAAATTTTTATTAAAAACATTTCCTGATACAGTGCTTTTTCCTATTCATGGGAATCATGAGTTTAACCCAAGTAACCTTCAGAATATGAGTTTATCCGGATCAGATCCTATCATTGAGACTCTAGCAGACTCATGGGAGTCTTGGATGATTCCAAAGGTTCAAGAAGAATTTAAGAACCAGTCCTTCTACAGCTACAGAGCTGATGAACATCCCATGGCTGATGAAGAGTTTAAAAGGAAAATGAATAAAACAAGAATTATTGCATGGAATGCTGAGAACTGTTACCTATTCAACTTTTATCTTCTTGATGAAGATGACGACCCTGGTCATGAAATTGAGTGGCTTGAAAAGACTCTTCATCAAATGGAGCAAAACGGAGAAGTTGCTATAATTATTGGGCATATCTCACCAGGAAGACCAGACTGCTTAAACCCGGTTTCTTCCAGAATTAGAGTGATTCATGAGCGTTATCAACACATAATTAGACTCAATATCTATGGTCACACCCATCATGAGGAATTAGAAGTAGTCAGAAGTTATAAAGACAGCATCCCGATCGGTGTAAACTTTGTAAGCCCATCGTTTTCTACATTTAAAGGGAACAACCCTGCCTTCAGAGTATTTGAAATCGATGTTAAGACTAAGCTTCCTGTAAAAATAGACACGTATGCATTTGACCTGGAAAAAGCCAACAAGAATGATAAGTACGCTAAGTTTGAGAAGATTCATGAAATGACAGAGGAATACGGGCTCAGAGATCTTAGGCCAAGCGAGTTTTTAAAACTAGCTACAAAGCTAGGAACCTCAGAAGAACTAGCTATTAAATACCTTAAAAACTTCAGTGCTCAGGGAAGAGATGCTGATGAGATTACTTCATGAAATGAATCTTGAAGACGAATTCTTTCTTGTGATACAAGCTATTCTACATTTTTAGAGTCAGTAGATTGCTATGGTCCTTACGATGTTGACCTTAAGAGTACCGTATCCTATCTCTCTGAAGTCATTTATGGAGAATGGGTGTCTAAGTCTAATAATTAATCTAACTCAATAATCACCTCACCTTTTGGGGTTTTGGGGTTTTGGGGTTTTGGGGTTTTGGGG